GTCAAAGCATTGGAGCTGAAGTGCATTAATTAAAATTACAAATTCTCAAGCAATGCATAATTAGTGTGAAAAGTGCATGGAAGAGAGGCGAAAAACCGAAAACAGTAGCGGTATGTTGTTTGCGGTTCGCCAGACGAGTTGCGGCGAAAAATTGAAGCCGAACAAGTCGAAACGTTGTAATGCAGAAAAGTTAGAAACTTAATTGAGTTGCAAGAAAAATGCATACTCATATTTCCCAAGCACCCAGCAGATCTTCTCGTCTTCGCATTTGTCACTTGCCATTCCCTTGGCGGCACTCATTAATTATATAATTTGCACTATTTTCTGCAAGAATAATTTCACTCGCATTAAAGACACGCACGCTAAGAAAAGTACAGAAAAATGCTAACCAAAAAGCGTGAAAAAGCAGCAGCCCACCTCGGAGCATTGCTGTTGAACGTAGTGTAAATAGCTATCTAAGAAAAATTCAACAAAATGGAGTAAGCAAACTGTGAGAAATGTGAAAAAGAATTAAGTAAATAAGCCGCAGCAAGCACGATGACGAATAGCGGGAGCACAGCGTAAACAGAAAATTAAAACTTTAATGAGAAAACTACAAATGTAAATTATAATTTCACTTCTCGACTGCCGGCGGGGCAATGTAAGCAGCAAGACTCATAACTGTTGCATACTTAAAGGGAAATTTGCAAAATATGTGATTTTTGTTCAGTGCAAAGTTAAGTTTTTATAGCGTGTATTAATGTGGAGAGAAACACTGGGAGATCATAATATGTGGGTTAAACTTATAACAAGAAGGCGATAAATGAGTATGTAAGCATGCTTTTAGGCGTAGTGTGGGTGTGAAACTGAGCTAGAAAGCAGCGGATCAGACTCAGCTCCAGAAAGCACTCAGTTTTTTTTGAATCACACTCAGGTTAGGTAAGGTTATGTTGGCTGGCAGTAAGGATATACATAGACCAGCTGGTTCTTTGTAATGCTAGCTGAAAGTTCAGTTTAATTTGATTTAAAGTATTATTTACAAAAGATATTGAGACTTTTTACGAAGTTTAAAAAAGACTAAATAACTGACATCTATATCTATGAGAGGGGGTTGATTTACAAAGAGCCAAAAAACAGAGAAATTGCTTATGCTCGAAATATTCTACGGATCATTCTGTACAACTTTGATTAAGAGAATATTGATCGGTATCGGGCCGCTTTCGAGCCATCGATTTTTGGAGTGAAATTTATATTTTTATCTATATCTATATCACATATGCCTTCCTGCATTTCTGACAACTTTAGCCTAGCATGTGATGTTTATAGGTTGTGGCCTGTGTCTAGACCAGCAACCATCTTGAGATCATATGAGCAGATATCGAGAATAATTTCATTTAGAAACCTCGAATATGTTCTTGGCAGACTAGCTTGCTTTTAATTCATTGTAACTCACCCTGATCCCTCTGTCAGCCATTTCGGAAATTTCATTGTTTTGTTTCACGGAATTCATATATATACAGTTTTTCTGCAGCCACCACTGTATCTACTACTTTCCTGCTTCTAAAAACATTCTCTTATGAAATACGGTGAAAGTTTTGTATCTTGATTGCCGCCTTCGTATTGTTATCTTTCATTTCGTTTCGAACTCTTGCATATCGAGCTATGCCATTTTCTGCACAAAATTTTATTTATAGTAGTTCACCTCACCAAAAAAAGGTATAGGAAAGTTGACATGACTACCGCTGTGTTGCACTAATGCATGAGTCCAGCTGACTAACTTCAGGTAGAACCTAGCATCTGCTTATATGCTTAAAGGACAACCATTTCGACTTAGCTGAGGCTGACATTTTTCTATATCACTATTCTGGGAAGCAAAAATAGTATAATCTTAATAATAATGACAAAAGAGTTTCTGTATCTTTAAAACCACATGTTATTCACGTCCAATTTTGACATTTTTGTCATTCTAGCTCATCAAAGTAAGATACTGAATATAGCTTAATAGGTTTTTGTAACAACCAAACAAATTTACTAAAAGCAATCAATGTCTTTGAGTCCAATCTTTGAACTGTTAAACGATTTAAGTGTTTTTATAGTATGCTCGAGAAATACGAGATTTTTTAACTGACAAAAACAAAGCTAATAAATGATTCCTTCGTTTATTGGTGGCCATAAAAGTTGACACAACAAAATGTAAACTGACAAAGTTTCAACTAACAAACATTTCAAAAGCCAATGCGTAACAAAAATATGCTTACATTGATTTCTACTACTACAATGCACTGCCATCAATGTGTTATTACTTTTTCTGTCATTTATGCAACATTGTTTGGACTGCGCATGTGTAAGCGAGACATTTAACTGAAGTCGTTTGCTCATTGGCTTGTCGTATGTGGCGTTATGGTGCAATGAGCTCAGCATGTAAGCAATTAGCAGGCCAATTTTTGGTTAACCGCAGTCGAATTGGTAACTGCCAGTGACTATAGTAATAAAAGCAATATTAAGGCAACAAGAGCCACAGCGACGTGAATGTAGGGTCACTCTTATGACTACTGTTGGGTCTTTAAAAGGCCTACAAGCATGTGAATGGTATCGTGGCAGTGGTTAGATGAAAAATACAATTGTTTAAAAAATGCATATATTATCACATAAATAATATAAAGTCTAGTAAAAAGAAATATATTATTTTTTCGTTAAATTGCAGGTATAATTTAGAACCGTAGTTAGAACTGTCCGATTTCTGTCAAATATACACCGTTTTTTTCGATATCTTCCGTTTGCGAGTAATTTCTTAATACCTCTCGCATAAAAACCCTCCTACCTGTTGGCGAAAAATTATGGACAGTGAATTTTGATAAGCTTTTCTTAGGCAAATCTTTCACCAACAAAATCATTTAATATAGACAGGAACATATATTGGGTAGTCGAAAAAATGTTTTCGTATTTTGTAAATAGATGTTCTTGCAGTCGCATATCTCCATAGAGTGTTAGAAAGGTGAGATTTTAAGCTTCTCTTAAAGATGTAAAGCAAGAATGCTACGCAAGCACCAATGAAATTTACGAAGTTTACGTATCAGTGTGTGTAGCGCAACAATGGTTTCCTCGCATTCGTTCTGGAAATTCCTCGCTCTGGTCGACCTATCGTTGAAAAATTTGATGAAATTATGGAAAAAATTTGGGACCGTTACTAAAGTAGCCATGACATCGCTAACGAACTTAGCATTCATCAACCAATGGCTTTGGTCGATTTAAAAAAAACTCCTCGATGTTTGGGAAACGCAACCTTAATGAACCGAACTCAAATCTGCGATTCTTTGCTGAGGCGAAATGGAGCGAATGGTAACAGAAAATTGGATCAAATTGGATCATGGTCCAAGCGTAATGCAGCTCAAGAAATGGTCGCAGAACCAGGATTGACGCCTCGAAAGGTTGTGATGAGTGTTTGGTGGGACTCTAAAGAAATTATCCACTGGTGAACGATTGATTCTACACTTTAGTGTCTACAACTGATGAGATTGAAGCAATCAGTCGAAAAGACTTCATCTTTGATGACTTGGCAAAAACTGGGATAGCTTGGCTGAGAACTTTTGATGCATCCACCATATAGTCCTGACCTTTCACCATCAGACTACCATTTGCTCGGTCAATGCAGAGCTCCCTTAATGGAGTAAAGTTGGCTTCAAGATAAGACGCAGTTTCTCGCCGAGAAGCCAGAAGAGTTTTACACTAATTAAATAATAATGTCTCTAGCGGAAAAATGGCAAAAAGTGTTCGGCCAAAATTGTACATATTCAGTTTTTTAAAGTTTATTATGAATATAAAAATAATATAATAAAGTGTGATTAGAGATGCGAAAACCTCGAATTAAGAATAACAATCAACGACTTAACTTAATAATAACAATCAACTATGGAACTTAATTTTTAGTGTTAACCATTTTTAGAATTTTTTTCACCCAAAAGTCTCTAAGCGCCAGAAATCTCCACTCTCTGCGCGCGATATTACCCACACTTTGCACAGACTAATTGACACATATCCAGCTTTAGTAGGAAATTTCGAAAGCCTGGAAATATTCTCGTACTCTCAACAGCCGCCGCAGCCGCGAGCAAACCGAGAGTTTTCCACTCCAATAAGCGCAATATTCGTTTCATTGTTTTTTTTTCTGCAAACAACTTTCATATGTGCATGTATATGTGGGTTGTCCGTGTATGTGTGTACACGTTGGGCTCCGCCGGAAATTGGGTTAGCGATGCAAATTGGTCAGGCGACCACGCATACCAATACGCAGCAGCAACAGGCAACATTCACATAAAAGTTAACGAAAAAAATACCAAAAAAAAAAAAAAATGGACGAAATATTCACTTGAAAATGTTTTCCAACTGCTCTTGTTGTTTCTTTTTCCACCACAATGTTATGGTCGTAGTCTTGAACATTGAAGAGCATGCTCGGTATCGCACATTCGTTTATTTTTTCAATCCCCTTCTCCCTCTGCTTCTCTCAGAGTGTATTGTGAATTTTAACGCACTTCATGAAGGCGGCTAAAGCCGCGCTGGACGTCTATAATTCTGTAATTCGATTAATGAAGCGCATCACAATCAGCACCGTTGCTGTCTCAATTTGATTGACTACCGCCAGAGAAGCGTTACTACTGGCAGCGTTGCTGGAGCGAAGTGGCAAGCGCGGCGCGGGCAAAGAGATTCCCGGAAGTTAAGCTTAATGGCTCGTTTGCTGCGGCGATTGGTTCAGGCAGGGGGAACTTCGTGTCTTTCTATGTGCTTCAGCAATGCATAGTTTTTTACGGTGTCGGTTAGAATATGTTCGGTTTTAAAGATTTTCGGTATTTATAATATTTCTGGTTCAGGATGACTGAAAATTAGCTCTATTTAAAATTTTAAGTTAGCAGATTGCAGCTGTTATTTGAGACAACTTAGTTCATTGCTTATTATTTAACTAAACTATATAAAACTTAATATTTTTTATATAATACAAAAAGTAATTTTAGTTATTTTTTTACTTTCAGGATGAGAAGAATCAGTTGCTCGTCACGAATGTTTGGCTGAAATTGGTAAGTTGTAATAAAAATTGATTCTATAATAGTAGTTTATAACCAAACTCATTAGTATTAATTTTACTTCATTTGAACATTTTCTAAAACATTACTCTTGTGTTATTTAAAAATATCCTTGAATACCACTTTTTTTATAAATTTTTCATAATTTGTATACATTAATTTGGCTAAATTTCCTTTATGCAACATTGAATATTGGATTTTAAAACAAGCGTGGTTGTGATCTTACTGCAATAGGCCTTTGATTTGAAATAAATAACTCCATAAAAAGAAAAATATTGGTATTAAATCACATAATTTAGAGGTGATCATCAAAACGAGAGGGTACACAAACTGCAAATGTCCCATATTGAAATTGAAGTTTTTAACGTGCTGTGTGACATGTGGCACTGCCCTTTTGAAACCCCATATTGGCCACACCAATATCCTCCAATTTTGGCAAATAGAACTGGGTTATCATGTAGTGATATGGAGAAGCACTAACAGTCCTCGATTGACCTTCTGAAGAAAGTATGGTCCAGTTATGCCTCCAGTCCAAAATGTAGGCGAAACAGTGACACACGTGAGTTCCCAGAACCCCGAAATTTGCGATTAACACACCAATCAATATGCAAATGTGTTTCATCGCTTAGGATGATTTTGCTCTAAAATACCTACATATATACCTAATACACCAATTTTTACTGGCTTTAGCTGTTGTACTTGCTTGATTCTAAAGTAGTAACTGCTTAAGTATGAGAATTTAGATCAGTTAAATTTTGTAGAAGGCGAAATTTTATGTAAGAATCCATGGTTCACTCTTTTGAACGCCGGAGATACGTCTAGAAAAGCAGATGTGCAAATGTTCGTATTGTCTATCGCATCTCCTACCATGCTTGTTATGTTATGTAGTGGTCGATTGTAAATCAATCTGGATAAGTAAGTGAGGATTGCGCCGTGACTTATAGTCTATTGTGTCCTCAGATGAGCGCTAAATCCAAATTGTTGTATTGGTATGAGATGCTTTTTTGAACATTGGAGCGTTTTTTGAACGTTGAGGTTTAGGCAAGTGTTTATTATCAATGTCAGCGTTTTTAGTGCTTTGTACGTTAAGGATTTTCTTACGCCAGCAGTTACTAAGTCGAAGCCAGTAGTCTTTTGAGGCTATAATTTAGTTTATATGAAATTTATAACTTTTTGAATTGTTGTTTGTTCGATTTCGTTTACAATTGCGAAGAATTCAGGTCAAGTAAAGTACCTTGGATCGCGACGCGACTGTACTAAATGTTTTAGCTAGCTTCTCTGAAAAACTTCCACATTTTCCTGATCGCATTTGAACATTTAGCCATTGGGCTTTCGGAGGATTTGACGAAATAGGTTTTATAATAACTTTTACAGCATTTTTTTTTTATTTTTATTTATTTTTTGTTGAGATATAGTACTTTTGTTTGCAAAGAAAGTAAATGAAGACTGACTACAGAAATGATCCTGTGAAGAGTAGTTTTGTTTAGTAATCGTAGTTTATCAATAATTTTCGTCAATTTATAGTCTTAACTTTTCATAATTTCTGGCGTCGCTATTTCTCTATAATATGTGGCAATATTTTTGCCCATCATATCCTTAAAATAACTCCAGTCCGTATGTTTGTTGAAAGATAATGCCATGCTTTCTTATAATGTTCATTTAGGGTTAGATAATAGTGAGTGGTCTAAAATGAGATCCAAGGCATTTGCCACGGTTATGAAGTCCGTGGAAATTCGCCCATTAGATGAAAAAATTTATTATAATTTTTAATAATTTTTTTAACAGATATTGTCCGTACAATGGCCTTGAAAAAAGTTATTTTTTAGGTGACTATTAGAAACTTTTTTAAATTTATTGGGTAGTCGAAAAAGTATTTTCGTATTTTGTCAACAGATGTCGTTGCAGTCGAATAATTCCAGCGCTACTAATCACATTGTATCCTACCATTAAGTGTTGGAAAGGCGAGATTTTAAGCCAAAAAAGTAAATTAATTCGGGGAAGTTGAAAAAAGTTACAGCTATGTATTCAAAAATGAGGGAAACTAGTGAAGAAAGTCGCTATATTTTGAAATTTTTGTATAAAAAGAGAAGTCGTGTAGCACAACAATAGTTCGCTCGCTTCCGTTTTGGAAATTTCGATTTACACTGATAAAAGTTTTACACTGATAGAACAATGTCTCCAGCGGAAAAATGGCAAAAAGTGGCCAACCAAGAAATACGAAAAGACTTTTTCGACTACCCAATAGATTTAAAATGTCAGTATGTTAATTTAACGAAATAAGAAATTGTTTTTTAATTTCAGAGTAAGTATGCACTTAACTTGTAATTCTGCACTATCTCGAACTCGTTTCAGATATGTTAGTTTCATTTCTATTAATATGTCATATAGTGTACCAATATATATTAATTTAAAATTTCAGTCATGTTTCGCATTTGCCTCCAATTTAAATGCCTAAAAGCTCCCTAGTTTATATTTGTTTTCGTTCTTATTCAAACAACTAACCAAATTGGCTGCTGACCTAATTCCCGGCCGCCTCTAAGCGCTGCTAAGTAATTTTCAAATACCAGCCTCATTCACTTTAAATTACACTCATTTCCACTCCAAATCCCACACGAAAAGTGTGGCCAATTTAATATTTTATTGCGCGTGCCACCTACAATTTGCTCAAATGCGCCTGTGTGGGTGTGGGTCTCCCAGAGTTGGTCGGTGTACGCTACCCCAAAGGTATATATTTTTACAGGCAGCCGCTTCTATCCTTGTTGTAATGCGTTTATTTGGCAGAAAAACAGCAATTGATTCCAGAGCAAATTAACTGACATTTCGAAAAGCAAAACTGGCACACACACCCACAGGCACACGCATGCATACACGGAGAATGGCAGACAAAAAGTAAATAAGCTTCTTTTTTGGGGAAGAGGAAAATGCAAACGAATTTTCTAACCAACTGACAATATCCTGGATTACGTTGGCATATGGCCGCATGTGTATGTGCGTTTGTGTGTGTGACAGGCAGTCGCTTATAAGCACAAATACCTTTAACATTGTTTTACAATAAATTTTTTCAGTGGTTTTTGTTGTTGCTTTTGTATTTTGTTTCATTTTGTTGCGCTGTTGATTTTATTGTTGCACTTTGTGGTTAACGGTACTGCATTAAGCTTATCTTGTATGCATTTTCGTGATAATGGAAAACTCGCATCACATGTCACGCCATGCCTGTGAGGCAATCATCGACCCGTGCATACACACATATGTTGCATATATGTATGTATGTAACTACATATCTACCTACAAATACAACAAAAGGGATTTATCGGAGTACACACACACACACTCATGCTCCTGTGCGCTCACTCACATTACTTCGTAGAAATATTTGCCGCTTTGTTGTTGCTCTTGCCACATTTCGCAATTTTGTTCCAGAAAAATATATTTTATGCAGTTAACCACATCCGCCAGCTCTCCGCAAGCCACTTATTGCATTTGCTCATGAACTCTTTATACACTTGTGTGTGACTAGCTTCAGCTTCCGGACAGAAATCGGTTATGGATACTTTGCTTCTACATGGCAGCGTACAACATCAGCATATCATGCTTGGCACACACACACATTGCACTGCTGCTACTTCTATTGGCCATTCAGTTGGCAAAATTTCTGCTCTATGAACTTAGCTTCTTCCTTTGTCGACATTAAGTAAATTAGTTTTATATTTCGATAATTGAAAATTGTGTAAAAGCAATATTTTTCTTATGCATGCAGTCGCACGCACACACACACGCATACATACACAAGGAGTTGCTTTCTTAAATGAAAGTGCTTAAATGGAGTGTATTGTAGCTTTTCAATCGGAATCAATTAAGAAATATTTGTTTATGCATTTGACTTTGTATGTGTGCGTGTGTGGCATGTGCTATTAGCAGCGCAAACATTTCGTTGCACGTTTGAGAAGTGTTTAAGTTATGCTTACAGGAATATTCAAAGTATCTCTTGCAGAATAATTTTGTGAGTTTTTGATAAATATTTGCGAATGAAAGCAGAATAAAAATTCTAATTAGTCAAAGCTACTTTGAAACCACTTCTGTGATTGGATTCTCAAATTTGCATTTAAAAAAAAAAAATGTTTTTTTTTTATTCTTTTTAACAAAGTTAGTGAAAAAAGAGTTTATAATTTATGAAGTTTTAATTTTTCCATAGTCCCGGTATCTCTGTTAAAATCTTACTCGATTCAGTGATTAATCTGAATGCGGGAACTTGCTTATATGACAGTATTTTTGAAAACATCTTGGGAGGTGTTTGAATCGTAAATACAGTGTATTTTATGCCAAGAATCTGCAACCGCTGTTTTATCGTTATTGCTCCAGAATTGACGTCTGATGACTGACCAACCTAAAGTAACAATAAGGTTTGTGTCCACTAAGTACACACAGTACCGAGCCTGCTCCCATATTTCTCACATTATCTTCTTGCAGTATCCAATCATGATTATTTTTTCCGTAAAGCCACTCTGCTGACTTCACAAGGGCCTTTTTATGAAATTTTATCACTCAAAGGGCATTCCGGTTTTCTGCGAAGCCTCACAAGACTCCAAATGTACAAGCAACATCTATAAAAAGTTCTTTCAACATATGCCTGTCCGTGGAGATTACATTGCCTCAATCACCGTTAATGTTTTCCTGCGCGCAATGCAACCTTTCTGCAACGTGTGTTTATAAAAGTAGATAATTTGATTATGGGATTTCTGCATTTGATGCCGTATCTCTGTGGTCTTATTAAATGTTTTAATTTTTGTTTCATCGGCCTTTATTATTGGGTGTTAGTGGTTAGTAAAGTGCAAATAAAATTTTGTATGCTTCCCAATAAATTGGGTTTGTATTTATTCAAAAAATATTTTAGGTTCTGCTTAACTAAGTAGTGCTTTTTCACAAAAAGAAGAACAAGAGTAATCGCTTTTAGATGTCGCGTTATTCCTCCCTCTTTCCTCTTCCTATCTAGTCGTTTAGGCTTTCAGTTCTGCTTAACTAAGTAGTGCTTTTTCACAAAAAGAAGAACAAGAGTAATCGCTTTTAGATGTCGCGTTATTCCTCCCTCTTCCTGTCTAGTCGTTTAGGTTTTCAGTTTCTACATAATGGTCACACCATCTTTCACAAATGTACAACTCGGCTTTAAAAACTTATTACGGTTTTAATAATCCATTTGGTACTGTTAAGATGCTTTGTGAGAGATCCTGCCTCAAAATATTTCTTATACCGACTACCCATTCTTCATATTTTACGGCACGAAGTAACACATTAAGAAGATCACTTGAATATATGTTAATTTGCAAAAATTGTACTCTTAAAAACCGTATTACATTTTTAAATAAATATTTTAAATGTTTTGTGAGTCACAGTCGTCTAAAATGTCGCCCTCAGCTCATTCAGCTCCGTCGGTCTTTCTTTAAACACATTTTTCTCTGAACTATGCTTTCAAATTAGCTTGTGTGAAAGTACGAAATGGATCACACTGCTGTCATATAACTGACCGATCAAACTCAAGTCCTTGTATGAACTCACTTCCTCTGTGATTTGTCAAGGTATCTTCTCGAAAATTGGAATGGTTTATTATCCAGGGCATCGCTACAATCTTGACACATACTGTTCTGATCAAGCCACTATTGCTTATACCTGTCATTCAAACTGACCGATCAAAAATCACAAAATACTTACTAATGCCCTTTTATGCTATAAAAATGAGACTGAGAACGGTATTATATTGATTTGGTTTTCATTACATAATAATAACATCTTCCCGTAAAAATTTTGGTTTTATGTTTGATCCACGGAGAATGCCGGAATCACTGTGGCGGTAGAGACCCGTTTTTATAGCCGTCGAAGAACGCCACTTGTAAATATATTGTCGAAATTTAGAAAAATTTGATAAAGTGGTTTCTTATAATTTCTAAAAAAGTTGAAATGTTTTTTTACTTATTATTATTTTTTTTCTCCAACCGCGATTGCCCTTAACAACAAGGGACTGAAATCAATAAGAAACATATGAAGACTTTCTGTTGTAATACTTTTTTTAATTAAAAGTACAAAGTTTCCCTGAGAGTATAATATTTATATATTGATAGTCGAAAAAGCCTTTTCGTTTTTAATGACTAGATGTCGTTGAAGTCGTATATATCCAGAGCTATTTATTTATTCTTATAAATGTAAAAAATAAATTAAAGTTTGATTACAAATACGAAAGCTTTTTTTCCAATTCTTATTACATCATTAATTATTTAATTCACAATTAATTTGTCCCAGTTCATTCACTTTACAGTTATACATCGTCATTCATGCATAATAATGATTTTTCATGCTTTTACTTGCTATCCCCCGCGCGCACACAGGAGTGGAATGATATGAATCTCCGTTGGAATACATCCGATTATGGCGGCGTTAAAGATTTACGCATACCGCCGCATCGGATATGGAAACCGGATGTGCTGATGTACAACAGCGCTGACGAGGGTTTCGATGGCACATATCAAACGAATGTGGTGGTGCGCAATAACGGTTCGTGCTTATATGTGCCGCCGGGCATATTCAAGTCCACATGCAAAATCGACATCACATGGTTTCCGTTCGATGATCAGCGCTGCGAAATGAAATTCGGCAGTTGGACATACGATGGATTTCAGGTTTGAATCAGTTGTCAAACAATTAAACACACTAACACACATACACGCACTTACAAGCATATATACATACACATGAACACGTTTAACTGTAAACATATGACATTACGAAGCAGCGCATTATAATGATAAATGAAGTGTGCAATCCGATTGGAGCATACACCGATGGCGCTCGAAGGCGAAATGATATTATGCGACCGCAAGCGCACACGCACACGTATTCAGCTATACCTACAGCGCGGTAAGACCGCTCAGTGTTGTGGAAGAATTCAATGCGGTGCAAATGCGGCCAATTAAAAAAGTTCCAGAGCTGATGGACGATGCCGGCGCTTGGTTTTCAGCGATTATCCACCTTAACTATAAAAGAGTTTGCTGCTTTGTTGTTGCTTTTTTTGGTTTTCTATGAGTTTTCATTTAAGTTACTCAGTTTGAAGCGTATATTTATTAATCATGCTCCGCACTTTCACAGCTGGACTTGCAATTACAAGATGAAACTGGCGGTGATATCAGCAGTTACGTGCTCAACGGCGAGTGGGAACTATTGGGTGAGTAGCGCCGATGTGCTCGAAGATTCGTGTAGTTGTTGTTGTTGTAATTGTGTTTGTGTGTAACTAGGTGACGCAAGCACAATAATTGTTGCTGCCATGTTGGCTCCAAGCGTACCACATCCATATATCTATGTGTATTCCATATGTGTACACACCGCACAAACGCTCTCTTACAGAAAACTGATGAAGCTTAACTAGCTTTAAGGCTATTAAAATCATACTAAAGTAAAAATTCAATAAGAAATTCATTAAATAAAATACTTCGAGCTTTGTACTTTCCTAAACTAAATGATAAACGTGCTTACCTTTTAAACTACCTACTAACAACAACAATCACATTATTGCTCATAAGCCGACTCTATTTGCATACATGCTATCTTCTACCACTCTAAGCTCAAATCTATTTTCACAATTACTTTCAAAGGCTACACTTCCTTACCACATTTACTATATCTCTACTATTAGTCGCCGCAACTCTTAAACTCATAACTCATTTGACAAAAGTTTGCGATTATTAACTTAGGATTCATCCTGCCACACAAATCGTGAAGTCCACATTTCTATACAAATAGCAGCAGTAGGTTCAGTGTGCCTAAAAAGTAGGAAAATTTTTGATTTTTAAGCTTTTCCATGCAGACTTATTGTATTTTTATACACTTCAATGAATCGGCGCCATTTTGTACTCAAAGTCACATTACAAGGAATTCCTTTACTGCTCTAGAGATAATAAGTTCAGATAAAAATTCAACTAAAAAATAATTATCGACCCTAAAAATAAGAGTAAACAATAATTAAATAGAAAATGTAACCAAAAGCCCACACAATAGCCTTTATATGAAGCTTAAACAAATTGATCACCATGGCGTATGAGTAACCTGAGGTCAAACACTCTAAGCAAGCAGCAACTACAAATCATTAGTTTCAATTTTCTGACTTAAAATTATTTATAAAAAAATAACTAATACCAAACAAAAAAAAAAAAACACCAGCGATACAATTTAAAAAAAATTTTTTTTTNAATACCAAACAAAAAAAAAAAAACACCAGCGATACAATTTAAAAAAAATTTTTTTTTGTTTAATTTTTTAGTTTAACAAAAGAACTAATTCCGTTACCCACATTCTCCATATTCAGCAAGTAAAAGCAGTCCAACTATCTCTTTGAATTGTGTACACTCCCTTTAAGTAGCAGTAAAACCGCTTACAAAATTTATTTATAGAAACATTTTTCAATTGCTTTTTGTACCAAAATATTTCTTTAGCCTTTACTGCTACCAAATTGCGGCAATTCACCAGCAAGTAGCAGTAAATACAAAAATTTTCAAAAAATAAGTCAAAAAATAAACATAAGCCAATGTTAAATTTAGTATCACCTAGCTGCTTGTCGAGTTATATATAAAAATAACCTTACCACACCACCACAGCTCCCGCTTTATGCCGCTGGTGGCAGCTGCAAACCTAAGCCGGCAAAAATCGCTGCCGCTGCCATTCAAAGGAATTTATGGAGCACTGGGTTTACAAATTTTATTGGCATTTACGTAATTTAACAGCGAATGCATGCACAATTTTTGCCACTTTAATTGAATTTATGATATTGCGGCAAGTTGCAGGAATTTTTACAAAAAGTTTGTGCAAGCTAAACAGACAAAAGCTATAAAAGTAGGAAGGGTAGTAGTACGAATACTTCGTCCACTAAAAACAATAACTTTTTAGACATAATATTAAAAAAAAAACTACTATAGCTACAAAATTACTACCAAAAGCTGTGCGGATTCATTGAATGTGTAAAGAATACAGTTATCTCGACTCTTAGATTCTTAGCGAACATAATATAATATAATCGCCCCAAAAACAAACTCAATGCAGCAATACCAAATACCAAAGCCGTTTGAAGACACAACAATTAAAACCAATACCCCACAACAGCAAAATCATTACATTTCTCGCCCAAAAAAACTTCATTTCCAAACTGTTTCATCGAATTCATTCAAACTGTCAACTCACTACGCTCAAAAGCAAACTATTCCTCACTCTAAACTGTAGTTAAATGAAGAATAAAATACAAAACTCACCCACTTTACCCACTCACCAATAAAAAAAATAAATAAAACATAAAAAAAAAATTACTTCAAAGGGCGCTTTAACTATTCAAGTCCGAAATAGCCGCGTAAATGTTTCGCCTTTGTAAAATTTTGATTTTGGCAATAAATGAATGTATTGCAACGAAAATAGGCTGATGTGTATTCTATGTCAATGAAATGTATACGAAATCTGGCAACAAAGCAATAGAAATTTCAGAAATTTGCACTTTTCAATTTGGCAAAGAATACGCATTCGCGCATTTTCCATTTCCAAAAAACCAAAAATATCAAAAAAGAAAAAACTAAAAACTAAACTAAACATAATTAAATTCGAGGTAAGCTTTTCCTAAACACCAATTCATCACATTTCTATCTAATACTCATTACTGTAAATACAATCAAATAGCTACTAGAACATTGTGTATGCGAATTTGTAGCATGCGCGCCATTAAAAGTGAGAGAATGAGTTCGAAAGCCAATTTTTTTACATGTTATAGAGAAAAATGTGCTAATGTATATGAATTAAATCACAATTTAAATAGAATTTTTAATTTTACAGCTTTGAAATGTTTTGCAAATAATAAAAATCACATATATATATACTCAGTTGGAAAGGTCTTTTAGCTTGATTTTCGATTACAGAAATATTTTATTATGAAAATTTGATGCTGCACAGCTTTATACATATTTTAGTGTTTCCATGCGATGTTGGGGACTCTTATCCCATGGTAGTTGGTGCAGAGTGTGGGTCTCATTTTTGTGAATTTTCCATATTCTACAAAGAAGCTGGTGCAAGCCCCTTACCAGTTCTTCGTCGTCATATTTGAATAGCTCGGGCGACAATCAATTGGTCCCCATCGCTTTGTTTTTCTTCAGACAGGTAATTGCTATTCGAACTTCTTCACGGTCGGGCAATGGAACATCTGTTGGGAAATCGGATTCGCCTTTTCCTGTCTTATAATTTCACTGTCATTCAGCAGGTTGGAAAAATACATAACGTAGACAACGTCTGAGTGTTCCACGAGAGTATGCTTCAGTTCCTCCATTACCTCTGTCCTTCCCATTACATTTTATAAATCAAAATAGTAATTCGACATACTTTCTATTAGTTTATTTTCCTTCTAAGCTCGAAAATATTGCTAAATTGCGTTCCATTTCTATTATGGTCTTTACTGGATGAGGTTAAAGTCGAGGCTGGCTGCTGGTCATTTCACTAACTTCATATTTTCTTCTTTAAATCAGTGATGTGAATGTCTTGTCCTTACTTGTGGATAGCAACGATATCCTGTTTAAAAATTGGTTCGATTTAATGACAGCCTCGAGAATGACATTAATTCTGATTCCAACATATCCGTAAAAATCTCGCTATTCACTTAATTGGAATGTGATGCAGTATATTTTGGATCTTTCATTACAAGCAAGTACTGCCCAAATCTTCACCATGCACCTTAAAGCTGAAAATTGCTTGAAGGTAAAGTTGAATATACTTAAATCTATATACATAATCTTAAATCTATATAGTGATAACTAACCAAAATATACCGATGATATATACCAAAGATAAACATCTACTTGGATTGCAATCTCTCAAGAACATTATTGAGCTTTTACCACTTGAATTTTGTCTTACTTTAACCATTTTCAAAAAAACAAAATGCCCTTGACTCATTTACTTAGCCAAAAAACACTTTTTATATCAAACGACTTTATGTAGGAAATCTCTAATACTCACCTTAAGGCATTTTTGAAGAAAAAAATTCAAAAGGAATTTCAAATATGTGCAATACCGTTACGCAGCACAAATGCATTTTACTAATTTCTCCCTAGCCTGTGAGATTCGACCGATTATTTTCAAAACAAAGTGAATCAAACAGTTGCAATTGCATTATGCTTTGCACATAACTGCAAACTTTGCAAAAGAAAAGTTTGGATTTTAGTTTAAAACAAACGTTTTTTAAACAAAGCAAAACTACCTTGAATAATTTGCTACGAAATGGATATGTACATGGGTGCAACTGCGTTTCATGTGTGAGTCTTTGTAGGCACATGCACAAACAAGACTTTCTGGTTGAACGAGCCTAATGTTCAGCTTGCTTTGCGACGGTAAAGGCGACGGCAGTCATGTGAGCCGAAAATTGCTTGAAACTGAATTTCAACTACCAATAATGTGCAGCTGCGCAGGCTGCCGTGTAGGCATTAATTTGCATAGAAAACTTTGCTCAGGAACAAATAAATTTTTTACTTTTAATACAATATTTATTTGTTTGCATGTTTGAAAGAGTGAAACGAGTTCGGATGCGGGCGTTTGCCTTGACATATATATTAGTATATTAAAAGTGTAAACTAAATTCAGCAAAGGAAAGAAAAAGTGCAATAATACACATGCGAAAGAGTATGAGATATTACCTCACAGGTTGGTTACGTATACGCAACGATGCACAGTTGAATGATAGAGCGCAGAAGCTAAAGCCAGTTTAGCGATTTCCAACTTTATTTTGATATTATTGGATTAAAAATTGCGTGTCAGAGCATAAATTTTTATCAAGGAATTTAGTTCTCTCCTGCATACTAACGTTCTTTTATCTTTTACTGTCATTTCGATAAATTATTGTATAAGAATTTTCCAAAGCAAAAAGGAAAAATAACAAACAGAAGTTTTCTTAAAAAAAAAAAACTATTAATAAAGCCACAAGTGTACTATAAACTTTGTACTAAATTTTTTAATAGTTTCCAAAGCTGCCAGCTCTTCTTGTGAAGAAAAAATTTTCCTTAAATATGGGGCAACTGTCGAGGCATGAACGTGCTTATACTTTTACAAACTCAAACTAGTTATTCATGCTTTATAAAATTGTCAAGCTTTATCTGCGTGGCCACCACTAGATATTATTTCACTTTAATGCATCCTTTATTTAATGGC